GCAAACTCAGGCAGACACCCAGGGGGACTGGGCCCTGCAGCCGACTCAGCCCTGTACTCAGCAGCTGAACATTGGCTGATGGGCCTGGCTTATTAACTTCACCTGGGACATGGAGGGGGTAAGATCAGCTTCCTGGGGAGGGGACTAGGCCAGGGCAGACCTGGATGGAAACTCCAGGGACAACTACACCCAGGCAGTGACCAGCAGCCAGGCCTCAGACAGGTACTGAAGCTGGGTCTGTGTGTACTGCAAGGCCGGGACATGGAAAGTATTCTGCCTGCTCCCAGTCAACAATGAATGCTCATTTCATACCCTTGACTCTGCCTGCTCCCTGCAGGGAGCACTGTGGCTGGAGCCCTGGAGGAGCTCCTGCAGGCTCAGCATGAGACCCCGGGGGCTTCTGGAAGGTGCATGTCACAGTATCAGCTCTCCAGCCTTGGACAGGGTGCACCATGTGCAAGAGGAGGGACCATGGCAATGACCCACCCCCTCTCCCCAGCCTGTCCACGGGCACAAGAGAAAGAAGGTTCTAGCACCTTCCTGTCCCAGCCCCCGTGTGGTGTTTGGTACAGAACAGCTGACTTCCAGGGCTCGGGGATTGGCCCTGTTCTGAGCAGAGCCAGCCAGGGGCTCAGAGACTTTAAGGTCAGAAGGGACCATCAGGATCCTGTTTTCTGACCTCCTGCACATCACAGGCCTCAGAACCTCATCCAGCCACTCCTGTAATAGACCCCTAACCTCCAGCTGAGTTACTGCACTCCTCAAATCATGGCTTAAAGACTTCAAGTTACAGAGAATCCACCATTTACACTAGTTTAAACCCCCAGACCTCCAGCTGCAGAGGAAGGTGAAACCCCCCCAGGGTCTCTGCCAGTCCTTTACTGGGTGGAGTTTGCTTGTATTTTCAGTGCCCAGTAGCAAACTGCAGTTTTCTCACATTTATTCATCATTGGAAATCGTTTGCAGATAACGTCACTGAATCCCCCTTGGACTGCAGCATGTTGATTCCAACTCCCCCTCAAACCAATGGGGGTCGGCTGCCTAAAGACCTCGGGGCCACCGGCCCTGTAGCAAACAGACAAATGGAGCAATGGCAAGGAGGGGAGGAGAAACAGGGTGACAGGTTTTCTGGGGTTGATTTTTGTTTAATGGATTTAACAACATTTATAACAAACTACAGAGGCCAGGAGTGGTGGAAGCTCCCTAAAAGTGTGTGTGGGGGGGCACTGATGCCCAAACCATAGCCTCTGTGCTGCCCCACCCCTTCCTGTGAGCCCCACCCCCACTCACTCCTCTCTGTCCCCCGTTGCTCGCCCTTACAGCCGGTAAAAAGTGGGAGGGCATAGTGATGTGATGCGGCCATGGCCCCCTGGGCCCCCCTGCCTGAGACATGGTTCTTCCCATCAGCAACCGACCTGGGTGGAGACCAGCTCCCCCTCCTTAGCCTGTGAATTATCAGCCCAGGGACCCTACAACACGGTCAGGGTACATGCCCCCAGGCCAGGCCAGGCCCCTAGGGGCCTACACTTTCCCTGGGGTCCCTCCTTCCCACTCTGCTAAACAGAGGATGACCACAAACTTCCTCAATCCGCTCAGGCTGCACGGCCTGTCTCCCAGCAGCCATGCCTAGACTGATGGTGGTTTCCCAACCTGTCTAGAGGTGATGAGACATTGGCTGACTTTGCTTCCTTTCTGCACAAGGGAAATGCCTAAATCCAGCCCCCAGGAACAGATCAGGGCTTAGCAGCTCCTGAACTAGCAGAGGTTTCACGTGCCGGGTAATGTGAACATCGCCCCAGGCAGGCTCGGAC